AAAGGTGGTTCAAATTCTATTTTGATTATCAGTGCGTCCACTTTGATGAAAATTAGGGATTCTGAGAGATTCTAAAGCATATAATTGAAATAACTTTAGATGAATTGAAAAAGGACAACAGAAAATTGGAGGTGATGTTTTTAATTTAGAAACGGGAGGACCAGAAATTAACCTATCTTTGTTGTTGAATCTGATTGACTTGCTGTAATTTGATACCTTGAAGGCTTGAACAAGTTCAAATAATTCCCAAATCCCAATAACAAAGGGGAAAAAAATTACTATATGGATTTGGCAAACTCCAAAGGTTTCTGAGATTGAAATACCCCGAAAGTCTATTCTGCTCCAATTTTTTATTTGAGAAAGAATGAAAGAGGATGACTTGAGACTAAAACGATTAAGAGGATAGAGAAAAAAAAATAGTTCAGTTAATGAGGGCAATATAGGAAATCGAATCATTTTTTGCCCTGGCAGCTAATTACTACCCTGGCATTATCAAGAGCCATTACAGATACACGTACTCGTGAGTTAGGATAAAAATTAGGACAGACACGAATGGCACAAAATGGTAGTAGCAAAATATGGGAGTCATATCATGATGATCCATGATCCACATTGAAATACACTAAACCTTAATTAGTACTCATAACGCGTAATTGGGGAAAAAAAGTACACATATGTGTGATCACCATAAAACGTTAATCCGTATTATTGATAAAAATTTTTTGTTTTTTAATATCGTTAAATTAAAGTACTCTTATATGTTTCTAAAAAATATAGATATTTTGGCTATAATTTTAAACATATCAGATTCCATAGTGTGATACTAGGTAACAAAATATAGAAGCTGTGGAGGCAAAGGGGAAAAGAAAAATTTAATGGCCTGCTATTGAAATACTTGTCCACATCCTGGCTCTCCCTTTTATTTTTCTGTGCGTATTTGCCTGAAGCATTTGAATAATGAAATGAAATATGTACGAGATTTTAATAATTTTATTAGAATTCAGGATTTATATGTTGAGGGTCATGTGGCAAGGATTGTGAATTCCATATCGGAGGCATGAGAACATGTGAATCACTTAATAAGTAAGGTAAACTCAGAATCAATTAGTTTGAGTTTTGGGTTCAAATGGTTTATTTGGCTCCATTTCGGGTTTTCTCCTCCGGATAAATCCCTAACAGTGGTAGAGCCTAGGTTAGGCCAGTTGGGTAGGTGATTTAGTCCAAATTATCTCTATTGATCTGATTGACCCAAGCAGTCAAAGGCCCACTATGAGCGGAAACGTAGGGATGGGCGGCTCAATTACTCAGGTGGAGTACAGATTTGGACCTGTTAAGATAATTTGGAAACCCGATGTGGAGATTGCTCATGATGGGGGAAAATATTGAGGGTCATGTGGCAAGGATTGTAAATCCCATATCGGAGGAATGAGAACATGTGAATCACTTAATAAGTAAGGTGGACTCAGAACCCATCAGCTTGAGCTTTTGAGTTCAGATGGGTCTTATCTTAATTATTTGGCTCCATTTCGGGTTTTCTCCTCTGGATAAATCCCCAACACTATATGCCCCAAATCTAGACATAAACAATCTTTATAACATTTGATGCCTATAAACCAAAAAAAAAGTTTATTTTGAAAATTTTTCCCTCCTTTTTAATGGTTTTTGTAAATACAATATATGAAATCAGCCGTATTCAACTACCATAACATCTATATATATATATATATATATATATATATATATATATAAAATTTACAGTGGAATAGATTTTTTTTTTATAAAATAGGTTGTAATTTACTTTCCAAAAGCCGAAAGACCATTCTGCATTAAACATATTTATTAGAAAATTAATCTGGCGGCAAATTTTCTTACTACAGTAGAACTCTCTAAATTAATATTCTATCAATTAATAAACTCAATTAAATAATAAATTTCTTTGGTTCCAACTCGGGACCAGTACAAAATTTAAACAAAATTCATAAATTAATAAAATAGTAGAACTTTAACATATTCCTATATAAATATAGGCCATCTAAAAATCATAATTAATCATGAAAAAAATATAAGAAGGTTTAAGGATGTAGGAGGATATTGTGTTTTACTTTTTTGAAATTTACGTTTGAAACAACTTCATCTATGGTTTTCTCTCCTACCCATAAAAAAAAAGAAAGGATCATAATTACATATGGAAAGTGGGGTTGAAGTTGAGTATTTTGTTTTCTAATAAAATTGAAAAAAAATCTTTAAATAATAAATATAATTTATCTATAAATAATATTATTAATTTATCGATAAAATACTAATCTTTATGATAAATTAATAAATTTTTATCGACCAAACACTATTAATTTATGGAGTTTTTACTGTACCTAGGCTGGAAAGCTCCCTTGGGTTACTAATAATTGTTTAGTTAGGTCATTATGTCATAGAAATTTCATATCCTATAAAGATTTCCCTAAACCTAATGTTACAAAGTGGGATAATAAAATCATTGTTACTTTAATAGTCCCAATTTTTTGGACATAATTATTTGTTATTTATAACTTTTTCCACCGTACGTAAAGATGTTAAAGACTCAAAGTAGTGATCCATTTGTGATGAATGAAATCACATGGCCCTAACTTTCATCTACAAACTACAACCACTCTTAATTGAAGGGTGTTGCTGCTGAGTGCCCTCATTTTCTCATTTGAGCGTCCTCCGAAAGATGGATACGCCTTCTGCAGAATGAAGGTATATTTTTTTTCAAAAACAAAGGAGGGGGAAGGGGAGGGGCGAGGGAGATATGCGCCAGCCATTCACGGCTAGCGCAGGAGGAACACGCCATCCTGCACAAGAGTGGCGTGGAATAATCTCGCCTCCCTCGTGGAATAATCTCGGCTCCCTTTACAGGGAGACGAGAAAACCTTCGCCTCTGGCGAAGGGGTGGCGCCGCCACTTTTGTTCGGGTTGGCGAGCATTTGCTCGCCAACCAACCGATGGGGTGGTGCCCGTTTTGGGCACCACTCATTTTATTTTTAATTTAATTATTTATTAAATTTTTTAATGTATTTAATTAATATCATTTATTTATTTAAATTATTAGTTTAATACATTTATTTATTTCATGTATTTGTTTAATTAATTAATTTATTTTATTTGAGTATTTGTTTGGTAGTTTAATATTTGTTTAGAAAATTTATGTTAGTTGGTAGTTAAATAGATAATATATCTTAATATTTAGGATTTATGGTATTGGTAAATAAATAATATTTAACTTAAATATTTAGAGATTATTTTTTAATTACGTATTATGTTCATAAGTTATAGTTGTTATATTAAATAGGTAAATTTTTGGTTAATTATGTGTTTTGCTTGTTATATGTTTAAATTATGTTAATTACGTAGTATATTTGTATGAAATAGTTTTTTTTCTTATTAAATATGTGTTTAGTTTGTTGTTAGTTTAGAAAGAATTGGTTAATTAGGTAGTATGTTCATAAGTTATAGTTGTTATATTAAAATGATGAATTTTTATTTATAATGTATTTCGTTTGTTATTAATATATATTATATTAATTATTTTATTTAAAGTATAACATCATAATATCAGATTACATATTATGTTTTTGTTATGAATTATTTGTGGTGTAATATTATTAGTTAATTTACATTATGATATGATTCATTTTTAATGTGTGCATGATATGTTTGATTAGGGAGGTGAACATGATTATAGTTCGGCTTTTGCTACAAGCGAGACTTTTGGCACGAAGCCTGAAGCTATTGCATATACAAAGGGTATTGCAAATATGTATAATATAGAGTTAAGTATATCCTCGCACAAAAATAGTAATACTATTCTCTTTTGTCCTAAAAGAGGCCGGTACTAAGGTAAACAAGTAGGTGAATTGCTTCTTTCCATTGGTGGCCCATTAAGAAAGCTGCAATTTCTACAGTACATCTTCTTTTTTTCCTTTCCTTGTTAAGAGATTTGGTTGGACCCTGAGAAAAACCTTAGGGCCGTTTGCCGACGTCCATATTTCCATGATTTTAGGTTCGGAATGTTTCGAGATGGGCCTGATAAACTTAATAATCAACTACTTTTAAACAAAATTTGCACATATTTGTCCTTGAAATTCAAAGTTAGAAATCAAATAAATCAATAGACAATTTATTAGAAACTAATAATCCAATAGATTTTTATTTATTTCGAAATGTAATGCTCAATAAAACGAGTGTGATCTGGTGACAAGTGACACGTATAGAAAAGAAATTTAACAAAATTTTATGCTTTGCGTTCGAAATTTAAGTTTTTTTTTAAATTAAAAACTTACTATTTGCGAGCACAAAACAAATATATTTAGACACGATTGCTTCATAGGTACAGAACATATTAAATAGTTAATAAATTATATTCAATAGTATCGCGTACGGTCCTTATTAAACAATAATAAACTACATCCGATCGCAAGTTCATATTTTATTTGCGCGTACAAAACAAGTATATTTAGACACGATCAAATTGTACGTACAGAGCTTGTTAAATAATTAATAAACTACGTCCGATAGTCAGATTGCGCTTTATTTGCGCGTACAAGGCAAGTATATTTAGGCACGATCGTATCGTATGTACGGAGCTTCTAAACGATTAATAAACTACATTCGACAGACAGTTCATGCTTCAAATTAGCTGCGTAATCGGAATCATTACAGATATTATCCCTTTTACTCTTGAGAAAATTAGAAAGTAATAAATCCATAGATTTTCTCAAATGTAATGAACACCAAATTTGAAAGATATTTTGCCACCAATACCTTAATCACCTCTTTAACCATAGTCCAAAATTCCTCAAAACATCATATTTTACCTCTTAATTTTTCCTAATAAGGGTCAAAAACTCAAAAATATGGATTGTGACCCACATCTGCATAGCCTTATCCTCAACCCAAAAAAAAACTTATTGCAAAATCCCCACTATAAAACACCAAGGAAGATGAAACAAGAAGACCACAAGTCACACACCACAAACAACAAAAACACACGGTCCCAACACACACGCTACTCTCTTTTTTTCTCTCTCTCTTTCTCTTTCTCTTTCTTCCTTAATTGTAAAAACCCATGTTAAAAGTCATTTTCATGTCTCTTCTTCAAAGGGTCCCTTCCTAACTCCCAAAAACTCTTATCCCAATCCCAATACTCACCCAAAATTACCTCCTTTTTTCCACCATTTCTTTTTTGTGTTGATATTGTTTTTTTTTTCTTGTTCATCTTCATCACTCAACGAAAAATTGAAGTAAGTTTCTTCCTTTTCTTTATTGCTTTTGTAATTTTTTTAATCAGATCATATATTATTTTATTGCATTAACTTTAGCAAATTACAAGGGCCGACACTTTTCACCTCCCTATACGCACCACTTCATGATTTATCTTATTTTATTAGTAGCAAATATAAAAGCATTTCTACAACTATAAACAGTACAGCTTACACCATTTCTTTTTTTTTCCCCCTTCTCTCTCTCTCTCTCTCTCTCTCTCTCTCTCTCTCACTTTCCTCTCTCTTTCTTTTGGTTTGCTTTCTTTCCTTCTTTTCATTTCATTTCAGTCTTATTAGTCCTTCAAAAAAGGGTCCATTATTCTGCAAAGGAGAGAGAAGAAGGGAAGCTGAACCATATCTGGAGGATAAACTCTGAGGTAAACAGAGTTGCCTTTTTTAGTCTGGAAAATGGGAAGAAAACTATGAATTGAAAAAGAGGGGCTTTGTTTATCTGTTTATGTGTATGCTCTTTTTTCACTATCAAGTTGCAATCTTTTTGTGTTATTTTTTGTGCTGCTTTGATGTCAGTTGTACAGACCCCGTGTGGTTTTGATGTCAGCTATGGTGGTTTTTTGGGTTCTTTACCTTTTGTTTTCCAAATGTTTGGGTGTTGACCATGAGGACTTGAGCTTCAATTCTGTATAAGTAAGACTTTTTGAACCATTTGCGTTCTGGGTTGTTCCTGAATTGTTTTGACTTTGTTGTTATGGCCTTCTCTGTATCTGGATGAATATGTATCTTTATTGTGAAATTAGTGTTGTAATTGATGTTTTTTTGTTCGACTTGGTTGAGGATGAAAACTGTTTTAATGGTATGATAGATCTAGTCAAAGTATGTTTTTTCGTTTATCTGCTTTTCCTTCTTTATCAGATACTGTTCCACTTTGATTATTTATGAAAACTGTGTTGCTACTCTGTGTTTTGTGACAAAGTTGACATGTATCAGATCTGGTTTTTCCATTTGGTGTTTTGTCACGGATGTAAAAATGATCCTCCTTTTTCGTTTGCTTTTTAGTCGGTATTCATGTGATCAATTTGATGTTCACATGGTTATGTAAAGCTGTCCAATCTAAATTTGACTACCTTATGGAAATCATTAAATGAGTTACTTGTACCTTTTGGTTTTATGCAAACTCTGAAATTAAAAGATATTTACATTATTTGATTTTAATGGTATTAAAGTTTATCCCTTCTAAGCAATTTTTGTTCTTTTTTTGATCTATCTCTGCAGGTGGGAAGACTATGTAAATTTCTTCTCAATATTTTTCTGTACTTGCATACTGTTGGAAGGAGGGTCAATTGATCAAAGTCATATTGAAATTTGGAATTAATTTCTCGGGTCTACAGCATTCTGGAACAATGATGATGTTTGAGGATATGGGGTTTTGTGGCGATCTGGAGTTCTTTGCTGCTCCTCTTAAGGAACCAGATGTCTGCGCTACTCAGGCTGAACCCGAATCTGAACCTCCTGTTGATGATGATTATACTGATGAAGAGATTGATGTTGATGAACTCGAGAGGAGGATGTGGAGGGATAAGATGCGCCTGAAAAGACTCAAGGAAATGAACAAAGGCAAGGAAGGTGTTGATGCAGCCAAGCAGAGGCAGTCTCAAGAGCAGGCTAGAAGGAAGAAGATGTCGAGGGCTCAAGATGGTATACTGAAATATATGCTGAAGATGATGGAGGTCTGTAAGGCCCAGGGTTTCGTCTACGGGATAATCCCTGAGAAAGGGAAACCAGTCAGTGGAGCATCTGACAATCTTAGGGAGTGGTGGAAGGACAAGGTCAGATTTGATCGCAATGGGCCTGCTGCGATTGCAAAATATCAAGCTGATAATTCCATTCCAGGCAAGAATGAGGGTGCTGCCCCTGTAGGTCCTACTCCACATACGCTCCAAGAACTTCAAGACACAACCCTTGGATCCTTGTTATCAGCCCTGATGCAGCACTGCGACCCTCCGCAGAGAAGGTTTCCGTTGGAGAAAGGTGTTCCTCCACCATGGTGGCCTACTGGGAATGAGGAATGGTGGCCTCAATTGGGACTGCAGAAAGATCAGGGCCCTCCACCTTACAAGAAGCCTCATGATCTTAAGAAGGCATGGAAAGTGGGTGTTTTAACGGCTGTGATCAAGCATATGTCTCCAGATATTGCCAAGATCCGCAAGCTCGTGAGGCAATCCAAGTGTTTGCAGGACAAAATGACCGCTAAAGAAAGTGCTACGTGGCTTGCGATCATCAACCAAGAGGAAGCCTTGGCTCGGGAACTTTTTCCTGATCGGTGCCCTCCTTTGTCGTCATCGGGTGGTAGTGGGTCCTTTGCCATTAATGACAGCAGTGAGTATGACGTGGAAGGTGTAGAAGATGATCCTAGCTTTGATGTGCAAGAGCAGAAACCAAGCAATCTTCACCTATTGAATATGGGTACTGAAAGGTTTAAAGAGCGGCTGCCAGTTCAGCAACCGTCACTCACAATTAAGGATGAGATTGTGACCAACTTAGACTTTGCTAGAAAGAGGAAGCCAACTAGTCAGCTTAGCCTTCTGATGGATCACAAGATCTTCACGTGCGAGTTCCTTCAATGCCCTCACAGTGAACTCCGCCATGGCTTCCAGGAAAGGTCTGCAAGAGACAACCATCAGCTGTCTTGTCCTTTCAAAAATACTTCGCAGTTTGGGGTGTCCAATTTCCATGTCAATGATGCAAAGCCAGTTGTCTTTCCTCAGCCTTTTGTTCAGCAACCAAAGCAATCTGCTCTGCCAGTTAATCCGAGTCCACCTTCCTTTGATCTGTCAGGTATTGGAGTTCCAGAAGATGGGCAGAGAATGATCAGTGACCTCATGTCATTCTATGAATCAAACGTACAAGGCAAAAACTCTGATTCTGGGAGCACTACATCTGTAAAAGAGCCATCTGTTCAGCAACCCAGCCTTCAATGTCAACCAGATAATTTCCTACATGGCCAGAGGATTGCAATGGATGGTGGTAATTTCTTTGAAGACACTAACATGAGCAGCAATCAGTCGATTTTCCAGCAAGGGAATCGCTTTGAAGACACCAGCATTCCCGCCAGTCGTCCCATGTTTCTGCAAGCTGATCGGTTTGACCAGTGCAAGATGTTGAATGCTCCTTTCAATCCCAACCCTGAGAATTTCAATTTCATGTTTGGGTCACCCTTCAACATTCCATCAGTTGACTTCACTGAAGGCCTTCCTGGAGTTCCCAAGGATCATCAACAAATGGCCAAGAATGACATTTCAATGTGGTACCAGTAAGAGAAGTTAGCCGAAACAAGTGACAGGTTGTCAGTAGTCAGTCAGTCAGTCAGTTCGTCGCAGTGTGATCAATGGATGCAAGCTTTTTCTGCAAGAGGAGGATGATCATCAGCAAGTATTAGGTCTCCCCTGCTCAGCTGGTCAGCTGAAATTTTAATCTCCCCATAGTATTTTTATATTTTTAGTTTGTTCTTGGTGTCTCCTTACATTGTAGTTATAGAAAAGTTGTAAGGGCTTTAAGTAGTTTTTATGGTTGTAATAAACAGGTGAGGGGCTGATTCTCCTCAAAACGTTTGACCATGTTGTTAAAGATTGATAAAAACTTGGTAGATGTTATATATATGAATATATATATATTTTCCATATGCTTTTATTTTCCTTCATTTTATTATATGTTAATTCTCATCCACTTGGTTCTTCAACTTGTTTAACTTTTGGTCATACTTGGTTGAATGGAGTTGGTTGGCTGTTTTGCATTTCTTGTCCTAATCAAAGTGCCCTGTTGTTGATTGAAAACACCATTTTGGATGGTGCCTAGATGTTTCCTTTACCTTTGTTTAGTGGGAGTATTGGGTAAAACGAGATTCTTTCATTTATGTTTTGTGTGTTAATGTTTCATTAGTAAAATTGGTAACATTTGTTATTAATGGAGATTTGTATATTTGAAGAAAGATATGGTAGGATATTTATGAACAAAATGAAGTTATTATTCATGCTTTCATATTGGGGAGGTGCCAAGTTGCTTCCTGCTTCCATCAAAGTTGGATAATTGATATTCATTGTCTGCTAACTTGTACAAGAGTGAATAATACTTCTTTTTTTTTTTTTTCCTGTTTTTCCCCCTAATTTTAACCTTGTTTTTTCATTTTGTTATTAATTTTTTAAATTTGTGTTATTATTTTTCAGGTATTTTATTGGATATGGACAAAACTAAAACAACTATAATAATACATATATTTGTTTGGTCGATATAGGCCATGTGTCTTGAATGAAGGTTGACTGGTGTGATGTTGATTGATCTCTTCTTCATGTTAGGTAATTACATAAAATAATGAAGGTGATAAATATCGTTGAATGTGGCTGGCTCTTTTATATCTTCTTAATGGTTATTCGGTGGGTTAAACTTTATTTTATTATTGTTATTGTTTTGCATTTGTTTTTACATTTTGGAATAATATATTAGATTTTTAGGACTTTTTCTATTCTGAAATAAGCGTTATTAAATAATTTATATAAAATTAATATTTTTTAAATAATATAAATAAATTACTGGAATATTTTCAATCTACCTCATTAAATAAATAGTTGCCATTAACGCTCTTTTATTTGAGGCTAAATTTAAAAAATTCAGACAAAAATTGTATTTCGCTAAAATACATTTTGAAATTTGAAAACGACACTCAATTTGTAATTATGCATTTCACTAAAATAAAATTTATTTCAGAATGGGAAATACTTCCTTATTTATATATATAGAATAGCAGTAAGTCGGTTTCTACAGTTCTTTTTTTCCCTCTTTTCTTTTGAGAAGGGATTTCTACAGGTTGAGTGTTCTAAAAATCCAAAATGGTAGTCAATGGACTTTGTTTGTGTATGATTTACGTTCCTTTCAAGTTCACAAAACTACTATATGAACGCGTGAGTTTTATTGAGTCATGAAAATTCGAAAGCATAACCCATCACCAAACTATTTTTACGAAGTTTATTCTGCCAACTTTTGATAGGTAGCTGCCATGTACTGAGTGAGATTAGATGAACTAATTGCAAATACCCTGTTCTAAATTATCAAACACTTTTAGCTGGCTGTTTTTGGCAAGGAATAGTGATTATTCGGCAAGAACAATTTTTTTTTTAAAAAAAAAAATCTGTGGTTGTTTATTTTGGTATGATCTTTTGTAATTTTGTAGAATCTCTCTTTACTTAATACTCCATGTGATATTTATTAAGCACTAAATTGAATAATCTGTTTCGGTATGCAATTCTAATATCAAATTAGAATTCTGACAATTAATTAGTAATACTCTGGAGTCTGGTCCTATAGCTTTTCAACTTCTTATGATTTTTATCAGAAGTTAAACCGTGTTTAATTGAATCATATGATAGGTTTAATTTGATATAAACCCCAAGAGGATTACAAAAATGATATGCTACTCATATACTTTTTGCCCATCTTTTGGAAAGGAAAAGAGAATCTAATTCTGAGTTCTGCCTTCAAACAAGATCTGTCTGTCTTGCAGAATGACATAATTGTCCACATTCATCACCAGAGTGTTTACTAATTCTAAAATTAGTGAAGTTATAAAATGTACACGTAGGAGAGTCACAAATCCTCCTTAGTTTCACTCTTTTTCAACAATCACTACAGTTATTTCGGAATACAAAAAATACTATTTCTGTTCTTAAATCATTATTTAGTTTAAATTTTTTACTTTTAATATAGATTGTATTACTAAAAATTAAAATCCAAACAGAACATTTATTTCGAGGAGGAGAGTACAAGATTTACTAGGAAAAAAACTATTTTATAAATGACTAATATTGAAATGTTATAGTATATGCTAAGCTGTTCTTACGTATTCGGTAATCCTAGACTATTATCTATATATATGTCGATGAACGAAAAATTGTGATTAATTGATAAATCTTGTCAGAAATCAAAACGAGATTGTGAACTCTACGAAGATGGTGGAATTAAATATACGTTGACCATTTTGTCATCCCATTAAACAAAGTTGCAAAGTCAAAACTATTGGTTCTTCTCAACTCACTCCATTATTTCTCTCTTTTACGTTAGTTGGCTGATTAGAAATTAAGAGTATTTGGGCAGCAGTTGACATTATCATTGGGAATTATGTAATTTGCTCATCCAACCAAACCACAGAGATAGCGAAAGCGATTTATAGCTTATCACTAAATTATTTAACTTTTTTTTGACGCAAAAAAAAAAAAAAATTATTTGACTTTAAATGCCGAGAAAAGAAAACGTACCTTAATAACATCTGGCATTCTGAGTACTCTTTATTTTCTTTCACTCGTAAGAATATTTTTAGATCCCTAATTAAGGCGGATTTCAAACTCACTAACATATTTTCATTTTCAAAGACAACATTTTTCGTTTCATTATAAGATCGTACAACTATAATGCAATTATGCAAGCATAAAATGAATTTGTAATGAGACCATACTTTTAGGCTATACATACTGTATATAGGTGTCGCGATGCTGTTTATATACACAACGGAGATTTCTAATCTCGTTATGGTCTACGTTCAAGATGCACGTTACCATTGCTTGGAAATTTAACTATTGGCATAGTAATTAATATTTACTCTGTTTCAAAATGATTATCCAACTTAAATTTTTATTTTTAGTACAATATGCTAACAATAAAATCTCAAGTTGGACTAAATTGTTTCAGAAAATTGTGCTAAAAATAAAATTCCAAACTGAATAATCATTTTAGATAGTAAGCCTCAATAATAGATAACAGACATAATGAGCTGTAAAAACATATATACGCTGCACCAAAACAAAGGAAAGGAAACAGAAATCACTACACTTCATATTTTTTTTTCCCAGTTATGCTTTGATTTTTTTTTTGTTTTGGGGATAATAACATTGCAAATGACATTGGTGTTGTATTTAGGTCGATTCTTTTTACCGTTTAATGAACTGATTCATTTTCTGTGTACTTTTCCTGTCCCAAACAAGAATCACGTATACTGAACATTATTAATATAACAATATATTATTTTGTGACGGGTAAAATATAGAACTATGTATTGTCATTTTTTTAAAAAAAAAAAAAAACTAAAGTCAGCCATTTAGAAAAATGTAAATGCACAAGTACTACCCAATTCAACGAACTAGAGCAAGATTCGTCAAACGACAAGATATCTCTGATTCTGATCAACACTGCAAAAACCAAAGTATATAACTAGTTTTTTGTCTTCAAACTCAAACCTTACAGTTTAGAAAATGATGAAAACTGAAATCCAACCAAAAGGGGTTAAATAAATTTGAACATTTTGAAATATTTTTCAATAATATTAATTATTTAAGTAGGAGTTGTAATTAAATTAATTTCCAGTCATTGTAATAAGAGCAAGAGCAGAGTTGTTTGTGGCCATATATGGGTGCCCAGGGAGGCACACATTTACATTTGAAGCAACATTTCTGACAGAAAAACATGCAGAGGCCTTCTTTAACTTGAGCATCTATTATCTTTATATATATGTTCATGCATCTGGACATTCTGCCAAGTTCATTTATCCAAATCTAACCTGTTAGCTAGCTAAATCTTGTCACATTTCTCGTCTACCAATACCAAAATGGCAATTTTTTTTTTTTTTTTAAAGAAACTATAGATTATTACATGTATAGTCTTTGGCATTAATCCGTAATTTTAATGATGAGAGGACTTTAATTAAGCACAACTGAACTTGTTGCTTAGTGAAAATGTGATCTCGGGTTCGAAACAAACACTCCCTCCAATTCTTATTATAAGACATTTTGATTTGTCTTAGATTTGTCTTAAATTTTACCTAGAATGTCTTTTTAATCGAAATAAAAATCTTAAAAATATATTCTCATAATTAGGCGAACAAGAAGAATGTGAAAATATATTTTTAAGATTTTCTTTTTAATTAAAACACATGCTAAGTGGAACCTAAGACAAAATCAAAATGCCTTATAATAAGGACCGGAGGAAATAACAAATTTGATCTTTGAGAAGATTAAGCTAGCCTTTTGACGGTGATGTGATTGATTATAATAATGAGTATAAATTTATTACATCGTTTTAAAATAGGTTCTATAAGAAAATAAAATGCACTTATGTAAGATTGTATCAGGTAAGAGAATTCATGCAGCAAACCTAGAACACTATGATCGATCATTTGGCTAGATTACGTTGTGAATTTTATGACTAATGGAAGTGTTTATCAATGGAGGAAAACCGTTGAGGATTATAAACCTTTTACTGTTGTTTTTCGTCAATT